TTAATTTAAAGCTGGATCCGCCCCTGTTTTTTGGACTCACATCTGTTGCTGGGAGAATCAAGATTATTTTTTTTAGTTGTTTCTCAACTGATTTCGAGGTTGCAAACTACGATTTTGGCTCCCTGGATCCGCCCTTGTTGAAACATAACTTCTTTTGTAGTCAGGAAGGTTTTCTGTGTTTTTGAAAAATTTTGCCGCTTCAAACCGGCAAAAAATTTTGCAAAAAAAAGAGCAAACAACAAATGTTGGTCTATTAGGAACACGTGAATTCCTCAATTTTCGTGCACCGCTTTGATTTCTGTAAACTTTGTTGGAAAACAGTTCTCGAAAAATGTCGCAAGGTAACAGCAATTTTCACCAACAATTGAGCTTTGGGCATTTTTATTTAGAATTAACCCTTATGGTGTATGTGAAGAAGTGCGTTCTATTGCTGCTGCTGAAATAATCCAGAAAGAGTCCCGCGCGTGTTCAGTGCGCCCCTAGAAGCATTTGAGTGAATTTTGCCCTCAGATGCACCCTGAAAAAGCAGGTACCAAAAACACCTTTCTTCTGGGGTCGCTTCAAAGTAGCTGCTGTTTCCTCCACAGTCCATGGGTTTGTTGCTTGTTCTTTTGCACGCCAGTACTCAGGCTCGAATGATTGATCCAGTGTTAATAAATCAATACGTAGCACGTGAACTTGAGATACCAATCGATGGTACTGCGAAAAAAACAAGGTGCCTGACAATACGAAGGTGATTCTGCCACCTGTCCAGTATAACACCCAAAGATACTGTTGCGATTTAGTTATTCGATTTTCGGCTTTGTTGCAAATCGGTGGTGCGATTTGATCTTCATGTGTTCGCATTTCGGTGTTCAGTGAGCGTTTTTCCGTTGGTTTGTGCAGCTTTTCCTATTGGAATTCAGTCAATATGGGTTAGTATTTCATCGAGTACGACAATCACGGCTGCGATTGTGAGTTGGGGTGTGGAAAGTTCGTTAATTTTCAGTTTTACAGTCAAATGGGTCACAAAATGGAAGGGTTTCATTGCATCCTAATATGGAAACATGCAGATCCTGTGACCAAAGGCGGTTTATTTTTGAGCTGAAGCCATGTAAACCTACAGTAAAGCAAGCGTAAAAAATTTCTGTCGCAGCCATTGCCTGAAACTGTTGGCTTTTCGGGCATTGGTGTGGAAAATAACTGAAGATGCAAGCCACGCGTGCTTGCGAAACGTCAGGGCGGCCTAAAGGCCCGAAAAGCTCAGCAGCTTGAAGCAATGGCCGCACATGAAAGGCGTAAAACATGCATTTTTAGGAGGCTTCCCTGCGCGTTTTATCATCATTAACCCAAAAAAAAGTCCCGGGGCACTTAGAACTAATCGGTCCGCTAATGGGCCAATTTCATGCTCACTTTACCAGAGCTTTGTTTTTGGATTGATGTGGGCTTAAGCACGTTTTAAATTTTCCAATTGGCGCCCTTCAATATACTCGGTTTTTATCGGCAAATTACCCCCCAAACAGCGAGAAAGCGATCAAAATCCCTTAGCCATTTAAACGGTTTTTTAATTCAGTGTTTCTTTGCAGGGTTGGACTTTACTGAGGGACAAGGAGAAGATTTCGAGCGGGCGTTAGAGAGTACTGGTAAGTGTTTTGAGGCAAATCCGGTCAAAGATTGGATGTGCTTTGGTGCAAACCGCACGAAACATATCTATTCCAGCCAGTTAGGATGTTGTTTGCGCATTTAAAATCGCTAATTTGCTGGCCAAACAGTGCCAATGTTTGCTTAAACTGCAGCGCATTTGGTTTGCTTGGTAACAACCCAGCGATGGGAGGAGGAAGAGGGTTTTAGGCGGCCAGAAAAGTGACCTTTTAGCAGGATTTTCAATTTCGATGGCGCTTGATTGCCACCAGGGCCAGAAGACCAGTCTGGTTGGGCGACCTTTTCAGCGCCCGCAGCCTTGTCAATGAAAAAATCGTTATGTAAATAGGAAGAAGACAAATAGGAGCCTTGGCTGATTTCCATTCGGTTTTGGAACAGGCCAGAATTGAATTGTTTATGCGATTTTTTTGGGTCAAGTAAAGTGGACAATTAATATTTTAATGCCACTTGGAATTCACTGGACGGCTCGCTTGTTTGTTCTATATTAGCACCATTTATCACATACTGCATATTCAACACATGTACGCGCTTGTGATGGTGTGAAGAAAATGGGAATTTTCCTTTTAAGATCAACTGAATCATCAAATCAAGATCAAAGTTGAAGCTGACGGGCGGGAAAACGGTTCATTGTTTGCTGTCTCGTCTGTTACGTAAATTACATTTATAGAAAGTTTCGATTTTTTATTGCACAAGCATATTTGCAATTTCGTGTCATTTCTTCTCACTTTGCAATTAAATGCCTTCCGGCCGAGTTGGCATATAGGCGCGTTGACAATTAGGGCAAATTAGGGCCTACTACACAACAAATCGCCGGTTATATGCCAAAAATTATTTTTAGCATGCATTGTAATACGAGCAAACCACCGATGAAGATGCAAGCCGATGATTGTTTGTGAAACTGTGAAACGCCAGAAACAATTTTTTTATCCTGAGGGCGCTAAAGTACGAAAACTCACCAGTTTATCACCATATTTACAATTTCTGGCAAGT